GACACCGCAAGTCAAGTCGTGGCGCAGGGTTTGACAGCATCCATAGCTGTTTCATGGGCTTACAGATCCGCGATCAAGTTAGCAGGGCGCAGTCTATCATGCATCTTCGGCAATGGCGCGAATGCGCAATTGAGGCGCGGCTCACCCTCGCTTGTCGAGCAGGGATGGAACATGGTATAAAGCCAGTTCACGGCCAACCTGGGTACGCACTATTCTCGCCTTACGACTGAAAGCACTGACATGCAAGTGCTACAGCATGGAGGCTCGGTGATTGGCGCACCATTGTATGATCGTTAGTGATTGTCCTATAAGTACAAAAGAGCTTTTGGATTGAGTCTGAGTTTCGACGTGGTGTCTGATGAGGTGTTGCGCCAAAGTCTGGTACTATGCAAGGGATGTTCATTTGCAGCATCGGCGATGACGTACAACTGGCCCAGAATAGAATGAGTCCACAAGACTGGGATTCAGCGGCATCTCGATAAGTGAGACCCCTTTCAAGGGAAGCGGTGTGATTATTTTATCAGTCAGCTAACATTCCGGCACCTATCCTTCCAAGATGTCCTTCACTCTTTTCGACCTACATGTTCTCCACACACATAATGGCATCAACAGATCTCACTCCAACTCCCGGCACTATCGTCACCACCATCAGATCTAAGAGTCAGACTTTATGGATGACCCCATAGTGTTGCTGGTCGTCATTTCCGCCGCCACGGTGATCCGCCTGTCTGCCTAACCTTTCGTGTTCGACCAAATCTATGCGCACGCATACGTTGGTAAAGAGCTTCGGATCGGGGACTATCTTTCGTATCTTGCCTGCTGCGGCTGCATCATCTACACAGCAACCAATCCGCGCGCCATAAGCATTGGAATGGCACTGCACAGGCGGGATGTCTCCTTAGCAACTTTAGTGGATGCCATCTACACTTGCGACGTAGTTTCTGTCTGCTGTATGACGACTAGCGGACTGGCTAAGACAGTGGCATCCCTGGAGCTGAAGAGGATCTTCGCTATGAGACTCCGTGCTGTCGATTCTGGGTCATCGTTGGAGGCCTGGTCGTCAATGCGCTGATCTACATGATTGTGCCTGCAGTCCACGTCTCTACGTGCTGGCATTATGAGAAAGCGGATACATAGCAGTCAAAGAGTGCGGTCCGATATACTGGGTATGTCACAGGTGCTCTAAGTCTTATCAGCAATATGGAAGCGTTCCTCGTACCAGTGTGGGCAAAATGGCAGCTGAACATGGAGTTGCGACAAAAGACTGCTGTCTTAGTCGTCTTTGGATGGGTACCATGTGGGTCTCTCGACTGGCTAGAACGCCGAGCATGTGCTAAATCGATTCAGTACGATGGCGGTTGGTTGCGTTGGACTGTATTATCGAGTCATGCTTATGGAGCAATGGGACTATACCTGGCTGGTGAACCAAACGGCACTGGTTTTGTGAGTCTCGTTGGTGAAAGACAAGATTCTTGGGTCACGTTAACAGAGGTACCCTAGTATGGCCGAGATGTGTTTAGTCGTATTCGTCGGCTGCTGTTCATCGGTCAGCCGCATCAGGCGTCACGTCGCCGGAGAGGGGGCGGCCTGGGCAGGACCGACGACCCGCCGCGCATGCCAAGATGGGTTCGAAGTTGTCCCCGCTTGACGGACGTTGAGCCACGGACGGTTTCGAGCAAGGAGAAGAAGAGACAGAGGGGGAGGTGATACAGAAGCGGGTAGGCAGCGAGGGGTAGATGGTGTTGTGCATTTGAGATGGTCATTGACTCATGGCTATTCGTCGAGCTTGGGCCCACCGGAGAGGAGACGGCAGCCTCAATTACCGAAGGAACGGACATAACGATGATAGCGCAGAGAGCCCTGCATTCACCATCGCAAAGTAGTTGGGGCGCAATCGCAGTCCCATCATCCACCGGCACAAAGAGCGTCTCAATGTGCTCGCAGCGCTCTCGCGACGTGCGCGCCATGCTTCTTCTTCCTGCGCCTTGAAATTCCGCCGCACCTACCCGCCCACGCCCATGTCCGCCTCCACACCCGCACCCGCGAGTAGCAGCCATGCGAGCAGCTCGCGCCGAGTACCGTTGGATAAGCGGAAGCGCACCGAAACGAGCTGCGACAAGTGCAAGTCGCGCAAGCAAAAGTGCCGGAAGGAGCCTGGCCAGGACGCCTGTCGCTACTGCATCGTGCACAACATCGAGTGCCTGACGACGCAGCCGCGCAAGAAGAGACTGTATGGGAGTGTCGAAGGCCTGGGCACCCGTCTGGCGCTGCTCGAGGCGCTGGTCAAGGGGCTGCTTCCAGAGGCAGACGTGTCCAGTACCGAGGCGTTGCGACAGCTTGCGACGTCGCACGGCATACCGCTGCCAGACTCGGCCGCCAACGACGCGCGTGGCGACCAAGACGACAGTGGCGAGGGCGAGGGAGACGACACCGTGTCACTGTTGCCCGACCAGCAAGGGCAGGTGCAGTTCATTGGCCCTGGCAGCTCGCTCTCCTTCCACATCAAGCTGCGTACGCTGGTCGGAAGAGGCGCTCTGCGCGAGTTTGTTCTGTCAGTACCGGCCCTGCTTCATCTTTACCTGAGGCGCATACTGACTCTTCGCGCCAACATCTAGCTTTGGCAAGAACGCTGCCCAGGCATCATCGCCAACAGGCAGCGACGACCAGCGCAATCCGTCGAACCCCACCGCACCATCGAGTGCCACCCACGGCTCTGTCGCCGTCCAGGGCCGACACTTGAACCCCGGCGACAGACCAAACCTTGAAGTGTTGATACGCGCCTTCTTCGAACACATACACCCAGACTTCCCAGTCCTGCACGAGCCTTCATTCCGCGAGGCCTACGAGGCGTGGTTGGTCAACCCCAGGAATGCCGATCCCGCCTGGCTATGCAGCTTCACCTGTGTGCTGTTGCTCGCTCGTCGCGTTGCGCGCATTCCCTTCCCAGAAGACCAGGAGCGGCTATGGTGGCAAAGGACACAAACACTTCTCCCAGTCGTCATCTTCACTTCTAGCATCACAGCCATACAAGCCCTGTTATTGGCCGCCATACACCTCCACAACACAAACCATCGGGATGCTTGCTGGAACCTGACGGGCACCGCTGTTCGTATTGCATATGCGATTGGACTGAACCAGGACAAAGTCAACGCTGGCCAAACACCTCTGGCTAGGGAGGTGCGCAAGATTCTATGGTGGACTTTATATGCCTTTGAGACGATGCAGGTATCCTCCTATGACCGTCCGAGTGCCATCGAGAACCCAGGCGCAAAGATCAGCAGTCCTAACGAGAAAATAATTGGCGGACCCCCTGACCTGTTCGCGTGCTCGACTCGCTTGTTCATGCTGCTCGGGTCAACGTGTCGTGCGCCCAAGACCGTCAAATCCAACGCCAACGATGAATCATATGTTGGCCCCTTGTCACCCGCCGCGGGTGTACTACGCGACCTGGTCCGATGGAAGGAGACGTTACCCAGGCATCTACATTACGAAGTCATAGACGCTTCACCTCCTGCTATGCAACGGCCGCTGTTGATGATACACTCCGTATATCACTATACAACCATCGTGTTGTGTCGCTCAGCCCTGCTTGCACGCGCTTCCAGTCTGACCAAGAGCGGTCATGACACTACAAACTCCGCACTCACAGCCATGGCGGAAGCTTGCTCTGAGTCTGGCCGGTCACTGGCCAAGGCATTGCTGAAACTCGAATCTTTTGGCAAATTCGATTCCGTCTACTCTTGTGATGTATGGTATATGCTCGCATCAAGCTCAGTGCTAGTCCTTGATCTTGTGTGCTTGAATAAGCTCGGAGGCACAGACATGTCAGAATCCCGCATTCTGTTATCTCAGCTTGCAGATCTGGCACAGCGGCATAGGCGGAATCCATACATGCCTGGAACCATTGAGAAATTCGCATCCCTGGTTCCAGAACTACATTCCATGGCTGACTCTTTAGCTTCGCCTGTCAGATTTGCAGAGCCGGAACTCGAGACCCACGACACCGGACCCCAGAGTTCCCTTCCGCCGCAGCAATTGTCGCAGCCGGATGCTGTGCCACACATGTACCATCAGTCCCCGCCCGGCGTAGGTACTTACATGTACGCGGATCCGATGCCAGGCCGTATATACCCTGACCAGGCCTACATGGGCCCTGCCATGCACCCTAATGCCCGGTTCGATAGGACGACGCAAATGCAGTTCATGGACTTTACGATTAACAATATTCACGAGTGGAATTGGGCGGACATTGGGACTATGGTTGGCCCCGAAGGCGTTCCGAATATGCCTGGAAACCCTCATGTACATGGACCACAGCCAACAGGGCCGAATTGACCACTACAAATATCTTTGAGAACAAACCTGAGGAATAAGCCCCTTCATATGTGAGAGCGAGTGCGAGCTGAGCATGCGACTGGGCACTGTTACATGCTGATCCTATTCGATGATTGGCTTTGAATAGTTGTATTTCAAACCATGCTTACTCTTCTCCTACCGGAAACCCGGCAAAGTCCCAGCGAGAGGGTTCATGAGGGCTCGAGCGCAAACAAGAGAAAAGGCTTAATCTTCTATCCGCTGTTCTGAGCCCAATTACTCGCAAGTCTAACCTTGAACGTTTGGCACGCAGGGTTGAGACAGGGGTAAGGCTGGTAGGGCTGAAAGACGGCATATCCCGCAACGGCTTGGCAAGTCCCGCGCCTATCACGTTCTATGTCTGTAGTTCGCACTCGCACTCGTATTGTGCCGTACTCGCACTCACCACGCCAAGAAGAACTGCAACAACGCGTTCGACACGGCGGAGCATATAGACTTACGCGGTGATGCATGTAAGAAGCGTAGAGAAAATGTATATTATATTCCACGATGTATCCTTCTCCACAGTCACACAGCATCGAAGATCAAGCCTCCAGCTCCAATCAGCCACGCCAGAACCAATCTACGATACGATTTCCACAAACAATTGATCAGATCCAAAGTTCCCACTCGCATCCATAACCAAGATGAGAATCTCAAGAATCCTCGACTTGCCTCTCTTCAGTAGCCGCTTCAAGTTACAAATTCACATTGCTCAAGTCGTACTCGTCACTGCCGCTGTCGGCCTTACGGTTCCTCGTCTCTTTGTAAAAAATATTCCGCGTTCAAGATCAAGCACAATTGCATTGGGAATGGTACGTTGTGTTCTCGGTATTTGGATGTTATTGGGTATCTAGGATATTTCACAGACATGACTTAGCTGTTGATCTGGTTGCTAACGCTTGCGTCTAGGGTGCTAAATCCCTCATCCTGCTCGCCTACCTCATACTCTCGGAACACGTTCCCCGCTTCCAGCGTTGGCACAGCTACAAGGCGCACGCGATTATCGCTTGTCTCGAGGTGGTTTTCTGGAGTGGAGTTGCTGGCTTAACGTTCCAGGCCAACATGAAGTCTTGCGTAGGGGTAACATGTGGCCTAAGCTGGGTAGTAATGGTCCTCGCCGTCATTATCATGTAAGTCGAGCAGAAACCTCTATTGATTGTCGAGTCTAACACGACCTAGCAACACAGAAATTGTTTGCTCCGGTATCAGCATCAGAGAGTTCAGGGAGTGGAAAAAAGCTGGCAAGCCAAAGTCAATGGGACCTCACTACGCCCCTCGTTCCCCATTCGACGACGAGGAATCACTCCGAACCGGAGTCGCACAACCGAAGGAGGCGCCTGTCCAAGCTGCCGAACGAGCATACTTCCACTCCGAGCAACGAAATGTGCAACCTGGCCAAACTCGACCCCACGGGGAATCTCTTTGGAATGATCAGAACGCACGGCGATCTTCCCGACAGGGACGCCATCATTCCTCGCGCCGCTCTGAGGATCGTACACGTGGCCGAGAAGAGCGTCACATGCATGAGATGGAACAACCACCGCGATATCCAGAACAGCAACAATACTCCCCAAGAGGATCGCGCTGAATATGTGAGTGCTGCATGGGGATGGGTTCCCTCACAGATCACAGTTTGGGTGGACTTAGGTCGCACTCGCGATATGCCTCTCATCTTATCTACATGCTAGAACTGCATATACGTTCGCGTTGATTTTAGGTTCTGGGCGGATCAATATCGTTTTTGTTTTCCTGGCATTTGTTTCCTATGTTATAGTTCTGGTGTGTCGAGAATCTTTCCGAACGGGTGTAGAGGATTATAGAGTTTTGTACCAAAGTTTCCTTTTAAACATCATGCTGCTTGCGCTTCTTAGACTCTAGCTGCATTAGAGTAACGAAGTTGTACTTATCGATTGGACGTTTATTATGCCTCACTATGTGATTTCCTGGACATGACTGCATTTTGGCACTGCGCTCTACGACGTCATGGCTGCGTCGCGTACCTCCACGACGTGTTTCTAACGTGTCGGATCCAAATATATTCCCTATATTGGGCTTAGCGCGTCATGGATGACGTCAAAATTCTGTTTAGCGGACTCCCAGCCTCCTACAACATCTCGTCTCATTCGGAACCAATAATCCGGAGCGCCTTACAAAATGCATGTCTCTAGTACAACATCTTGCATCACCGGAACTCGGTGACTGGATATCTCGAGCAATGAACGACTAATTGCTGATGATGATTCGGCTACTTACACGAATGACAATCAGTATCTTCCCACGCTGGCTATACCTGTTCGCCTCTGCAGTGCAAAGTGTACTCTAGTGCTGCAATCGCAAAGGTGTTATGATCGCATTATCCAGTTCGCCTCCAGTGGCATGATATAATATACGCTGGTACTACTTCTGATGGCTGGTCGGAAACAGTCGAAAGCAATGAGTGCGCGTTATCGTGCATCACCCTCCGATACGCTTGCACACTAATGCATGCTCTTGATTTTGCTTTCTCTCAATCGTTCAACAGATCCAGCCAGATCTCCTTCTGCTCCTTGAAAGACTCATCTTCGAGAACACTGCGGAATACCACTTCAGCCCCCAAGAGCCCTGCTTCGATATCTCCTCGCTCCAACTCTCCTTCATCATCACTGCCACAGCTATCGTTGCGCCTCTCCAATGCATCGAGCATTACCTCGCCCTTTGTCTCCAGCTCCTCAATTCGCTCATTAGCCAAAGCGAGTGCTTCCCTTAGAGTGGACTCTGTATCTGCAGCCGCTTGGGTAGCAGCCGAGGTACCCTGAGATGTGTAACGTTGCAGTGTAGCCTTCAATCTCAGATTACGCTGTTGTACCTTGCCCTTAGTACGGTCACTTTTCTTAAGGCGAGCGACGGTACGCATGGTATCGTTGAATTGATCCACAAGCTTGTCATGCTTGGAGATGAGTACATGGAAGCGCGAATAGAGTTGCCCCCCAGCTATCGTGTCCTCCTCATGGCGGAACCTGAGTTTAGCCATCTCTTGTTCCATCCCCGAGATGCTGCGAGCTTGGTCTTCGAGGTCTTGATGTGCGGCCTTGAGGTCTTGTTCTTGCTTGAGGGTGAGTGTGCGCCAGTTGTCCCGATCTCGACGCAGGCGAGCTGCAAGCGACTGAGCCCAGGACAATTCACCCAGGAGGTCATGCTTAGATCTTGAAGTCGTCCGTAATGACTTTGGAGATGGCAAAGTATGTTGGTGATTGGCGCCGAAGTTTCCTTCACTTGGTCGACGGGATTCGAGCGTCAATGGACTCACAGGCGCAGAGACATGTCGTATAAGTGATTCCAGTAGTCGCGACTTTGGGTTTGGGGTAGTTACTGAAAAACTAGGCATAGCGACTGCCATGTTTGATGTTGTGTTTGTTGATAGTTAGGTCCCAAGATTGGGAGGGATATGTTGAAATGTGGCGTGGGTTACAGACAAGGGCGCTACAAAGAAGGCGAGATAAAGAGGAGTCGTGACCGCAGGGCCGAGCGCAAGACGTCGATATATGTCACAACTCAACAAACGATGTGTTGTTTGAATGTGGGTTTAGTGGAAACAATAGTCGACAGCCGACGCAACGTCGCGTCTTGCATAACACGTGATCACGTGCAGGCGCGATGCGGATTGCTGCTTCCACACTCACCATGAATCCGCCAGTATGGACAGACCCTGACTAAAAGCAAAACAAGATGAAAGTTTGACATGGAGAGATGCACACGAAGCGATGAAAATTGAAAGCGCGTAATCAAAATGACGATTATTCGGACCACGAAAGACACCACGATGGTGCCATCACCTACCGAAAAGTACACCTAAATGCGGCTCAACATACTAAAGACTAATTGTAACAAGCTCACAAAGCCATGGCTGCAGCAAAAACACCGATGGAACCTCCGACCAGGGCCATCACATTTGGAATTGATCCAGCAGGTGCAAGACCTGTGCTCGTCGCAGCGGTGCCAGATCCAGACCTTGACGGTGATGTTGCTCCTGTCCCTGAGCCAGTAGAAGCTGAAGTTTGAGTCGCTGAAGCTGATCCCGCTGAAGACGCACCGCTTGCAGTCACCAAAGCCACCTCCTGGTAAGCTTCCATATCCTGTAGCTCGCTCGCCGACAGAACACTCTTCGTCTCGGTGGTACTGAGACCTGGGATGCTTCCGCGGTTGGTGGCATCACAGGTTAGGTCAGCTGTTGTCATCGCACCTTGCCAACTGCAGGCGATGTCTACAGTCCATGCGCCTGGACTCGGGTCTGTGAGGTGCATCTCATATGTCTCAGAACCTTGTATGATGGTGTAAGGTTCGCAGAAGGAGTAATCATCGCTGGAAGCATCGTCCTGACGGCGCATGCGAGGCGCGGGTGTAGGCATCGGAGTTGAATCAGGCGCAGACGGGTCATCCGTGTTTACTGCAGGTGTCAGCACAATCTTTCAATAACCCTTTGCAACATACGCATATCGGTCGGCACTGCAGAGATACCTGCATTGTCTGAAGGACAGCTGTTCTGGTAGGTTGTTGCGCTGGCATCGGAACCAAGCACGGTGAGGGTGCTATCGAACTGGAAGAGGTTGAAGATTGTCGCAGACTCTTGCGCACTGGCACTACCTTGCGCAATGGCAGTACCGGCGAACAACGCAGCATAAGTGGAAGGACGCATATTGAAAGTGTGATGAGGATGGACTTGGAGAGATGCAGTGCTGTTGTTATGGCAGGCTGGGCTTGAAGTTATACATCATTTCCTGTCTGTCACGCAGCCCGCAGTCAATACTACATTATCTTACCCGAGCAGACGCCACCATCGCTTGCAGTGTCCAGGCGACGAATCGCGACCGTTACGTGCCTGGTATGTGATGATGCATCAGCAAATACGGGCGGCGGCGAAACGCGCTACTAAACTCAGGGGCATGCGGGTGGCTGGAAGCTCGCAGACTCATCGTGACAAACACATTATGAAAAGATGGCAAAGCAGAAGGATCATTCGAGATCCGAGAACGTCGTTGATGCGATGCGATATCTGAAATGCGGAGGTGAGTTCACCCAAAGCTTGATTTCCAAGGCCAAGTGCTTGGCTTACTCGATGCATCTGGCGAGGCAGTCATCATATAGCAAAAGGAAAGAACATGTTAAATTAGGCGGTGCCGCATGGAAAATCGCTCGATTGGACATGGCTCAGCTTGCGGCTGATTTACTGCTCGCATGTCCGGGGGCCAGAAGACGTCTTTTTTGTCTTTTCCCAGCGAAAGCACGAGGCAGATGTAATGAGGTACGGTCCTTTTCTAATTTCCCACAGGGTTCGCAAGCGTCACCAAGCATCTAGACTTACGTGTGGGGGAATGCGAAAGAAAAAACCGGTATAGAGAAAAAAGGACTGGCAGACTGATGCTGAAGCCTGGATTTTTGTTGAGTCGGAGAGCATGAGCGTGTTGTTTCCCAACTCTCAAGGTCGCGTCCATCTCCAAGATTTCCCTTTCCGAGCAGTGGGCAAAAAGAACATGGATTTCGAGCTCGTCAAAAAGGCAAAAAGAACATTTTCCGACACCGGGAATCGAACCCGGGCCTTGCCGGCACTGTACAGTGAACTGACTCTGCGAATGAGAGCGGCAAATCCTAGCCACTAGACCATATCGGACTTGGATGAAGAGGGAGGAAATCACTGGCATTATATCGAGAAGCACAAAGATTGAACAAGAGACGAGGGACCGGCCAAAGAACATGAAAAGTTTGCAGGAGAAAATTCGAAAGACACTACCCCACCAGCACTATGGAGCACACAGAGTGGACCTTCATCTCACGAAAAATCATTGAGAAACACTAGTCATTATTCGTTATGGCGTTATAGTGTGGAAGAGCAGTAGCGGACTGCCTTCCAAAACGCTTCAGGAAGCAGGCTCGAGGCCAACGACATCAACGGCTGCTTCAACACGCCTATTCAAAAACGAATCCCACTTATAGACAATTTGGATACTTGCAAAGAAACGACTGTTCAACCCATCACAGGTGTATCCGCCCTCTCAGGTAGCGACTGCGCAATCGGAGCCAGTCCCAGCAGCTTCATGCCATTCTCCAAGACGACTGCAGTCGCTTCATACAATGCAGCAAACCCAGGAGTCACCTTGGTGTCTTTGTCACCCTCAGCATCTTCATCTTCATCTTCCGCGAAGCACTCGGCAAGTTGGTCAGTCACACTAGAGAGATACGTAACGACACCAGCCGACTCGAGGGAGTGATATGTCGCATTGACAACCTCGGGATACTGAGCCAAAACGCGCAAGAGATTGGCTGGGTCGTCTTCAGCCAATGCCTCATAGTCTTCGTCTGATAGTTTAGTTGTAGATTCGACACCTTTCAGTAGCAGACGGAGTTTGGCCAGCCAGTACTGCAAGTCCAGTCCTGATCCGAGCTTGAAGGAAGCCATCGTGCTCGTATCGAAGGCGTGTGTGGTGGTTAGACGAGTCGAGAGCTCTTGCACAAGCAGTGCAGATGTCGCCAACCCTTCTTTGGTATCGTCGGGACCGCCAATCGTTTCAAGCTTCTCAGCATCAGCTTCCGAGAAAGCTGTCATCGCCTCCTCACAAGCATCCAGTATGCCCTGCGGCTTATATCCTCTCCCAAGCGTCGCAGCCATCTTCGATACCTCACTGAACTTGACGTGGTGTAGCTTGCTAGCGAGCTCTTTCATATCAAGTGCTTCCAAAACCTTGATGAGCTGTGTGAAATGCACACTGTTGTCACTGGCCACCACGTATATCATCTTGTCGAACGAATATTTTCTCGACCGTTCGATGACGGCAGCGAGGTCTCGGAGGAGATAGGTGCTGCTACCGGAGCGATCGCGGATGATGGCTGTACCAGACTTCGCACCTAGGTTCTGCATGTGGATAATCTGGGAACCTCCACTCTCCTCTGATATTCCCTTCTCCTTCAACATCTGTTCGACCTCGACCATGGTATCGGGACTGATCTGCGACTCGCCCGAGTACTCATCGAAGCGCACGCCTAGTCTCTCGTAGAACTTGGTGTAATTGTCGATGTTGACGTCTCTCACTCGCTTCCAAAATGCCACGAGTTCTTCGTCACCCTCCTCAAGCTTCTTGAATGCTTCGTTGCGTTCCGCAAAGATGCCCTTGCTTTCGATCTCGACCTGTGCCTCTCCCTTGTCTTCACCTTCCTTCGCTACTTCGTCACGCGCTTGCTTACTCGCAGCCTGTTCTGGCTTAAAGTCCTCTTCTATCTTATGGTAAACCTCCAGGAGATGACCGACAGGATCTGCCTCGTACGCCTCTTCTGAGCCGTACTTTGACCACCCAACGTACAGTAAAGCGATCGGCTTACCCCAGTCTCCAAGATAGTTGACGCGCGTCACGTCCCATCCCATCAACTCGTGCAGCCGGCCGACAAACGCGCCAACAATGGTGCTTCGTAGATGCTTCCCCTGAAACTCGCTGGTGATATTCGGAGATGAGAGCTCGACCACGAGCTTCTTGTGTGCGCCTTCCGTGCTAGCAGAAGATGGGACAGATCCGTACCCATGCCTTCGACTTGAAATGTACGGCAAGAGAAAACGGGACAGCGAATCTGGCTTAACGAAAACACGAAAGTGAACCCCTTCTAGGAACGGAAGAAGGAAGAGTGGATGATCGCTTGGAAACTAGATTTGCTTAGCGATTGCCATAGTATAAAGGGTCGAAAATGGAAGGTATGTACCTTTTTCATAAGCTCAACAGCCACTTCATCAGCTTTAGCACCAGGCCGTAGCTTCGGAAGTATGACTGCCAGATCTCCATTGAATATGTTATTCGGCCATTGGATGGACTTGTAGGCTACATCGATGTCACAACCTACAGCATCTGCTAGTACCTGGGCCAGGTAGGTACGGTACACATCGAGCGGGTTGGCAAGCACTTCCGCGTTTTTGACCTCGGGAATCGGGACACTGAGATCCAAGGAACCAAGAGACTGCTCGAGCGCATCCATTCTCAGTTGATCGCTGGCTATGTTGTTTGTTGACGAAGGCCTCAAGATGACACTAATGGACATGCGCTTAAGGTGCGACTGTCAGAATACAGTGCGGTACTGAGCAATGAATCAGACTGAATTGAACCTTATGGCACAGACAGCCTGAAATGCTCACCGGTGATGCTCTTCAGCCTCATTGTAAGAGAGCAGACTGCCACGTCGAGCAGGCAACGAACCTTGGACTGTCGTGTTTCTCCACAATTGGTCCGCTTCATGCACATCATCAACTACGATCAATGAGATAAAGGTATGCATTATCTTGGAGGCGCACGTATCGTGGGGTAGCTTACTGATTCGCTCCACCATCCGCCTTCTCGTGTAAGTCATGTTTTGGGCGGGGTAAGTGCTGTCATCATTCTCCAACCAATGGCATTTTTGCCTTCATCCATCTCAACTTAGATCTTTCCATACAGCATATCACAAGACTATTGCGATACGTTATCGATGAGTATTGAGTTAACTATTCCAACTTGTACCACTCGTGTGTCCGCCTTCGCTGCAGGACAGTCCCACCTGCTGTGGTTCTCGTGGTTATGTCGCGGACATCTCTCCATATCCGCTTCGCCCTTCTCGCAATAGTTTCACACCACTGAGGTCGGTACATGTGTCCTTCCCCAACGAACCTTACAGCATAAATCAACAGTATCAAGACCAAGTAAAACCAGATGAAGGAAACCAGGTTACGCTTGAACTCCACAACAGGTTCCTCCATCGAGAAGAAAGATGTAACAAGACTGAGCGGGCCAATGACTTGAAGCATCAGGACTGCGATATAGTTGTTCTGCTGCATCATTCGAGCCCCGGTAGAGGCTTCCTCCTTTTCGCATTGATCCTGAAGGCGTGACAAGACTCTATAGAGCTTTTGCAGTTCCTCAAACTCTTTGTTAATGCTGTGGAGCATCTTTCCAAATTTCGATGCATCAGATTTCGCAGTGGAGTCACGGAAATAGCTATGGTCTCCATTGGCCGCGAGAAATCTCTCCCAAGTATCCATGGTGTTATCGAGAATCGGCAATAGGATACGGAGGACGTCAAGCATACGATGATGCCATCTTAGAGAATGAGAGATTCGAACATCTGAAGCTTCGTACAAGTTCCATACCACTCGTTCCCACTCCTTGCGTACCTGCCGCACCCGATGCTTCAAGACTAACAAGAAGTACTCTCGTGGATCCCAGATTGGACGATTTGCGTCTTCTTTTCCCATGGTCATCTGATCGGCGTGGAAGCCATCGAGTGAATACTCGTCGTCGCCAAACTCCCGGTCAGGATCGAATTCATTGTCCTCAAAACCATAAGCGACGTAGTGTTTGACACTGGTACCACATATTGTGAAAGAAATTTGTGCAGGGTAAAGGCCCAGCTCGCCGACTTTGGTTGTTTCAGGTAAAACTCGGGCAATGAACGACAAATCAATCCACTCTCGGTGTGGTTTAAAGCTCCTGTAGTTTGCGTGGATCGTATCCGTTCGCATCGCGAAAAAGGGCAGGTGAAAGTCGAGTTGGTAAGAAGGCTTACCCTTGGTCTAATGAATTATTAGTATTATGCTAGCTGACTTCGACGAACAGCATCTTACGGAAAGACTAACTCCCATCGAAGGACAGAAAGCGTGATATTTAGCTATGACGTCCTTGAGAGCTCTATGTTGATGGTATGGCGCTGTCTCTGTAAGCGCGACAAAGTCGTAACCATCCGGGTTTAGTATAAATCTATATCCCAACGTCAGTAAGCTTGAAGTTCAATTTTAGTAAGCGATACTCACATGAGGCGCCGGTCTGAATCTGGCGAATTCTTGAGTTTGAATCGCTGATACGGTTGGTCAGTTATGATTCACTAAGTGCGAGCTCCCGACAGGTATCGGGCAACGTAAGCCAGGGATTTTCCTCAAAGGCCAAAAAAGCACCAAATCAACGAATACCGTGATGAAGATACCTTCAGGTGGTAGTCTATCAACGTCCGCATGTGAAAACCGAAATGCTCGAACAGTTTGAGGAATGATTACCTCTTTCCGGAGTAAAGTGTACAATGTCCTTGCTTGTAATGGAACATTATGGCGTCTCGAACTAGGAGAATACCGGGTTGAAGCGCTTTCTGCATGCTTATCTCCTATGGTACCCTGAGGGGAGGTCGTAGCAGGATTGCTGTGAACCCTGCCTTGAGTTTGATCGTCTGAAATGAGGGCATTCTGTGGAGAATCTGATCCATCGTTATAGGATATTTGGGTAGGAGGTGGTTGGGATGAGTTTGAATGATAAGCGCTATACGTTCGATCATCCAGCCAAATAGTTTCCTTAGTCTGCTCGTCAAGATCGGCCTTCCTGACACTCCCGTAGAGACGGATAATGGTTTCTAGGGTCGGCGAGATGAAGTCGTCTTCATATGGACGCAAGAAAAGCTCAACGCTCTCACGCTTAGGTTCCAATGGCAAAAGTCGCAATTCCTCCACATATGAAAGGTCTTCATCAGGAGTCGAGGCTTCGTCATAGATATCACTCCACCGCTTTGCGAAAGAAAAAAACGGGAATTGGTTTTTTGGCACTATTTCTCCTGGAAACGCGGGATTTCTTCGCACTTTAGTGGAGCTCTTAGGTGAAAATGCTTTGCAGTGTAAAGATACGTACTCGCATGCAGTCCTGCTTGGAGCACCATGCTCATCAGAACTCTGTTCATGTATCATCTGGAAGAGCCGGCGTTGAGGAAATTATGTGCATGCTAAGGTCCACTAATCGCATGTTCCTTGACACTGTTGATACAACAAAAGGTGCGGAGCGCGAAACCAGTCCCCGAGTTCCCATAGAAAGCGGTCGAGAGTCAGTATATATATTCGTGCGCTTGAGATCCGAGGGATGAGCCCACGACATTCCGCCACGTATTTTCTCCGTATCTTGGATATCATGGGTCATATCCGTTCCACTGGGTCATGATTATACGGCGGTGGGCGGGTGCATGCGTGAGCTTCTCGCTGTAGCCGACTCGAGACACGTAGCTTGCTGCAAATTTCGCTGCATTGTGAGGCTCTCCCGAGGCTTTCGTCCTTGCCTTCTTTTGCATGTAGGTGAGTGGTTGCCGTTGCACTTGTCGAATCACTCGCTACATTTGATATCAGCCTTTGAATTCTGCCGGCAAGGCAAATTTGAAAGGACAAGCCATACAGAAATCGAGGTGGCCAATTTCTGCATTGCATTTCCTCAAACACGATCTTGTGTAACATAGTCCCAATGAGGGGCGGCTTTGCGATCGGATCCGTGGCGTTGGGCTCCGGGGATAGCCGAATCTTACTTGCATGTGAAGGACGTTGGGCATCTACAACCCGAGTTCTTGACAGCAGCCCGCAAACGTTGTTGTTTGCCTTGCGAATCATAGTCTGGAGATAAAAGTTCCGTGAGGCAAATGTTCACCGATGAGCGGGAGCGCTCAAGCTTGCTGGAAATCGTGAGGCTAGACTACCGGGCGTCTCACTGGTAGATCCGGACGAAGACAGCGCGATTCAACTCACGATAATAGCTATGGATGTGGGAGTTCTTCGCAGAATCCAGTATGTGAGTTCTTGGATCGAGATTTTGAGGACGAATTTGGGATTGAGTTCCAAAAGATAATTTTGTTCAGAGAGGTCGTAACTAGTTTGATATATCTCCATTGCCCTCCTATTTTGTCGCCCATACAGGCCGTCGTATCAAAGCTACACACGCGTTAGGAAGCCAACACACAAACCACAATACAGGTTGCATTTGGTGATTGCATGTGAACTCACCGGTCTCTCTTCGCATAACTCGGCACCTGACACGATCTGTTGCAGAGGTGCGCCACTGCATACACTTGTGGTCGTGTCGAAAGCTTGTTGGTTATGTCGATGTATATCCATATCGGATGCTGGGAGCTTAGCCCAACTTTTATATGCATTGGAACTGGACAAAGGTCTGTGACCCGAAGTGCGTGACAGCGCTCGTATAGAAAGAGCCGGACCATCTGCCTTCTGCAGCTGAGATTTAGCGGCAGATGCTCGCACTTGCACTCTCGTCGTTGTGCAGTACGCACATCTTCCATATCCACACCCTGGGCAACCTGCGGAGGAGATAGGAATGCTCGACTTCCCACAATAACACTTTACAGTCAGAACTCGGTCGCGGAGTATCACATGAGGCGCCCACTCACACAATGCCATATATAGACGTGCTTCTTCTTGGCCTGTACTAGTGTGAGTGCTATACACTTCCATTCGTTGAGTGTTTTCGTCTCAAACATACTAGGGTTTGGATAGGTGGAATGTGAGACCTGATATATGGATATGAGAATGCTAATCAGACGACCATCGAGAAGGACGCTTACCGATCTAGCTGCCTGGATCTGTGCGCCATTGACGCAATGTCGTTACAATGGTCCCGCTTATTCCGTCTACTTCTTCGAGATATCAATACGTCTACAGGACAACGAAAGCGAATATCAATTGGCTTCACTTAAGAAGGGTCTTCCCGTCTTCTTTATGAGGGTCCTTACGCTGAGAGCGATCGCGCAGTATTGCAGACAAGCGGTGTGAGTCCGCATAAAAAAAAAGTCTCGCGAACCACTCTTCGCGGGCTGCGAACTGTTCGTGTAGCCTGCGTAACGCTCCTAGAGACTGCGGAACCGTGTGAGTTCTTCTCGTGATCTATTCGTGTTTCCATGAGCAACTGTTTTGTGCAATGGCAGCAGTGAGAGTTACAGGTTGATTAAATCTCAGCATATATGGCGGGGTACCGACTGATTCAGACGTCCAAACAGCAAGAAGGTGGGCCAATAGAAAGAAACCACGCTGTACAAGTTATGCACATATGTCGTGCATGACCGATGTTCGGAGAAAGCAGCATGTGTTGGTAAAACTTCGAGTTGTCTGAGCTGTCCGAACAACAATGTGGTGTGAGGTGAGATATAGGCAGCTGAGTGGCTAGGTGTATGCATCTCGGCAGCCATATGTAAAGAGCGGAGTTCCTCTTCGGCCAAGGACTTATACAGCTTGAGCTACTTCCATATGCTCTTGTAAGATCTAGTTACTGTAGAATGACCTACAGTCTTGATAATAATTAACAAGTGTGGAGGAAACCCGCATGGAACAGCGTCATATCTCTTCGAGTTTGTTCTAGTGAACTACTCAATAGATAAACACATTGGCCGTCTCTCTAGTCATCGACTTGACACTATTCCTTTGTCTTGCCGTGTAAGAGCGCTTGATGGGAAGACAAACTTTCATTGTTGTGCACCCTGTCCTCCGGTTGGAGTACCGGGTGGAGGGGTTTGTGACAAAGTTCAGCACGGATCTCAAGGATGACTGTGGAGGGGGGCCGGTATTTGTGGGGTGGCAGGTCTTAGCGCGAACAGCTGCTCGCAGTCGCGCAAGAAGAACGCGTTGGACGGTCTTTCGACCCTTGAACGCACGCGCCCCAGCACATTTATCAATCGCTGTTTCGATTTCGCTCATTGATAGTAACAAGCCATAACTACTCGTCAATGTAATGTCCTTGGAGGCCCACATCGTCCTTGGACCCACTCTCGAACTATGGGCTGCAAGCAGTGACATCACGACTGCAGGAGCTTCTGCATTATGTGTCTAGAGCTACCTACGGAGGGTTGACGGCAGCTCAAATCCCCTCAACATCACGGTATGCTCTTTCCTTCTAGATTCTTCAATTTGACACACTCTGCTCTTCGACACACCAGCATTCGTTCATCGCTGACAACCACACTCAAGTATTCATCCGTTATTGCTACCCCGCTATCCACCATGTCCAGCACTCTGAGCATCAACTCAACTTTGAGCTTGCCGAAATCGCAGTACAAGATTCCACAAATTGGTTTTGGGGTCTACCAATCCCCCAAGGACGTTTGTGTTGCTTCCTGCAAAAAGGCCTTCGAAGCAGGGTACCACCATATCGATACAGCTCAGTACTACGCGAATGAGGAGCAAGTCGGCCAAGCGCTGGCTGAAAGCGGGCTTCCTCGAAAGGATGTATACATCACTTCCAAGATTCTGAGCCCTGGCGAGGATGTCGAGTCGACATACAAGAAGATCGCGGACAGTGTTGAGAAGCTTGCTGGGAAGGATGGTTATGCAGATCTGTTCCTAATTCACAGCCCCAACGGAGGAAAAGAGGCTAGAAAATTGATGTGGCTCGCTCTGAAGCAGGCGCAGGAGAAGGGCATAGTGCGAGACATTGGCGTCAGCAACTACGGCATTCAACACATCGATGAGATTGCTTCCATTGATAGCAAGGCCAGCCTGCCCGCTGTCAACCAGATTGAGGTTTGTCACACTAGTAATCCGTCTCGCGACCGGACTAACAGATTCAACTAGCTCCACCCCTGGTGCCAACAGCGCGAGGTTGTCGACTACTGCAAATCCAAGAGCATCGTTGTCGAGGCCTACTGCCCGATCGTCCGTAACGAGAAAGCAAACGACGAAACCGTCGCTAGCATTGCCAAGAAGCACAACAAGGAACCAAA